GTGCTGAGGCTTATGCAATCAGTGGGCCCTCGGATCAGCTGGCAATGTGTGTTGAGCGTCATGGCAACCTGTCTGTGTGCGAGACGTGTGTTAGTCAATGGAGCTGTCCATAACTGAAGGATGAGCCACTGCTCTCCACTGCAGTCAAAGAAATCACCCTCTAATGTATGTGATGGGTTAAAGGATGATGATGATGTCATGGCTGGAAAACTTGGTCCTGTGAAGCAGCTGCTCTCCAGGCCACATTTACACCCCAGTTTCTTTTCAAAGAAACAGGCACAGCCTGAAAATCTTCCAATTAGTACAATAGTGTCTAAGCGCATGGATTGGATCTTGGAGCTATTATTCTGGGCAAAAATCACAATTACACCAGAAGGGGATAGAATTTATACATATCTAGCTATTGAGTATCTTAATCCTTCAGGGATTTGATCTTTTATGATACCCAGGTGATATAAGTGATCTCCCTTTTTATATCTAGCACCACTATAGTTACCTGTACTAGATGCACACTCACTGCTTTATTAGGTAGGTATGTAGTACTGGATTGGACACGCTTTTGGTTTGCTATAAGTCTGCTGGAAACAGAGGTGCTGGAGATTTTAGTCCATATTGACATGACAGCATGAGACAGATACTGCAGATTTGTCAGCTGCACATCCATGATATGAAATCCAGTTCCACAACATCCCAGAGCCACTATGTTGGATTGAGAAAGCCATTTGAGTACAGTGTTTAAGAATCCTGTATTAGATTAAATGAGCTTTGTGACATGGTGTGTTATCCTGCTGGAAGCAGCCATCAGAAGACGGGCATACTGTGGTCATAAAGGGATGGCTGTGGTTTAAGTGATGCTCAGGGGGTACAAGCCCAAAGTGTGCCAGGAAAATATCTCCCACACCAGCAGCGTGAATCATTAATAAAAGGAAGGATGAATCCATGCTTTCATGTTGTTCATGCCAAATTTGGGCCCTACCATGTGAATATCGTGCCATAAATAGAGATTTATCAGACTGAATGTTTTTCCATTCTTCTATTGTTCAATTTTGGTGAGCCCTTGTAAATTGTAGCTTTAGTTTTTTGTTCTTAGCTGACATAAGATAAGATAAGATAAGATAACCTTTATTAGTCCCACACGTGGGAAATTTGTTTTGTCACAGCAGGAAGTGGACAGTGCAAAAGTTATGAGGCAAAAATTAGAATACAATAAGAATAAATACAGTACACAACTGTACAGAATAGAATAAAATAAAATACTATATACAGTAGAATAAAATAAAATAAATATACAATAAGATAAAAATAGAATACAAATACAAATACTATATACAACTGAGTAAAAATACAACGATGACAGAAAGGATTATTGCACTTAGTATTATTGCATATGTATGGATGTGTGTGCTTGATCAGTTAAAGTCTTTATTATGGAGTCTGACAGCAGTCTGACATGAGTGTGGTGTTCCTGCTGCTGTAGCCCATCTGCTTCAAGGTACGACGCGTTGTGCATTCAGAGATGCTCTCTTGCATACCTTATTTGTAATGCGTGGTTATTTGAGTTGTTTTTTCCTTCTTATTAGATCAAAGCACTTCTCTGCTGATCTCTGGCTTCGACAAGACATTTTCACTCAGAAAACTGACACTCACTGGATATTTTCTCTTTTTTGGAACACGGCCTGTAAACACTAGGGATGGTTGTGTTGGAAAATCCCAGTAGATCAGCAGTTTCTGAAATATTCAGACCAGCCTGTCTGACAGCAACAACCACGTGTCACGTTCAGAGTCATTTAAATCACATTTCTTCCTCATTCTGATGCTCTGTTTGAACTGCAAATGCATTGAGTTGCTGCCATATCTAATAAAGTGGCTGGTGAGTGTATTTCATCAGCCTTTAGCTGTAAATGCATTTAAAAGTAGCACAGTAACAATAGCAACATGCTGTTAAAATTGGTCTATACCTGATGAACAGTAACATTTTTTTATCTCCTCGGCTAAAGGTTAATGGAGCCAGTAACAAATGGCATAAGAGAGCCGACCCTTTAACAACTTTAAAATGTTTAATTTTAATTTCTATATCTTTCTTTGTCTTAGAGTAGTTTCAGGAATCTCCAAATTAAGCTTCTGTCTCCCCGTCTTCATTATTTAACCTAACCCTTTAGCTCACAGTGAATTCTACTGCTGGTCATTCTCACTGGTTTTCTCTCTCTTTTCCACACCTTTTTATAGTATTTATTTACTGTTTTATTTGTAGTGATGCATTTTTCAAGTGTTATATTTAAAGAAAAAAGAAAAGGGAAGTCCATTCACACTGTTGTGGATTTAAATAGTTCTTTCCATTAAGTGCAAATCTGGTGAATGATGCTCACTGGAAAGCCTGTGAAGTCGTGATAACCGGAAAGTCTCTGTGTTTAGTTTAGCGCTCTCTACACGGACTGGATGCATCAGGCACTGTGATAAGGAGGTGAGGCATGTGAGTGAGTGTGCGTCTGTGCATGTGTGTGTTTGTGTGCATGTGGGGATCTGACAGGCCCTCCAACTATTTACGAGCTCAGCCGATTCCTGCCTCACTTCATTAGTCCCAGCTATGAGACCGTTGCTAAAATTAGTCCCCTGTGCAATGTGGGGCCCTGCAACGCTGACACACTTACACACACTCCCTAACACACATGCACACACACTCGCACACAAAGACTGGAAAACTTTCCCACTGCCAAGTCATGTTTTCCTAAATGTTCCTGTTCCAAATACTGCTCTTTCGACCCCCGCAGTGCTGCCAGTACAATTTCTTTTCTTCACATACTTTTACACACACCACACCGAAAGCACAACAAATACTGCCTCCCGATAGCGTACTGGGGGAAGATATGAAGACTGCAGACTTTAACGAAACATTACATCACCGAGATATTCATGGATTTGGCATTTTATTCCTATTAATGATATTAACCCTTTCAATCTCCTCTCTTCTCCAGGCGTTGTGTGGCTGCACAGTTAGCATTCCCACGCTGGAAAACCGCGTTATCTCCCTCCCTTGTCACGACATCATCAAGCCAGGGACGGTGAAACGACTCAGAGGCGAAGGCCTGCCTTTTCCAAAGAACCCCTCACAGCGTGGTGACCTCATCGTGGAGTTTTCGGTCCGTTTTCCCGACAGGATCCCCCCTCAGTCCAGAGAAATTATCAGACAACACCTCCCCCAGTCCTAGAAAGACACATCTCTAACTCCTCCACCACAAACGCCAGACTAAACCTGAGGAAAAAAACTACACTCCTTCATCTACTCCTTCTTTGTTTGTAGTTACCCTCATGTCCCTGTCAATGAATACAGCTTTGAACATGTGCTGTGATAATTTAGGGACTTCACAAAAGGAAGAATGGCAGTATCAGGATGTGAAGTACTCATATTTATTTTGTCTTTCAGCCCAAACGCGCGCGCACACAGACACACACAGACCCACAAATACACACACAAGCACCCTGAGCAGCGGAGCGGTGCTGAGGATGGGCTCAGCACGATTCTGGTTTTTAAGGGAACCTCTTTTCTTAACTGTTTTATACGGATTTATCAGTGGTTTTATATGCCGTCCGACTCTGATCCTCGTCTTTTTGTGATAGGATAAAGCGTGAAATATTTTATAACGAGAACAGGATTTTGTTTTCCAAACATGTCAAAATAGGATTGCTTAATGTTTACATTAAGTGTACCAGCAGCTTCGGTGGCTTTTAGCATAGCCTTTCCTTTGGCACATGCCGGAGTTTTTCTTCTTTTTTTTCCCCCATGCTTTCAATCTAATAAAGAATTATGCTTGAAAATCTGTGGGCCATTAGTATGATCTGTCTCCCCTAAAATATCCCTAGACGTGCAGTGCCACAGAGCTCTAAAAACTCTTGCATTACTCCAATTATATTAGCATAGTTTAGCTGCAATGGAAAAATCTGGGAATGACAATCACGTAACTGTAACAGCAGTGTACGTTTAGATATCTGCACATAATATCGGTGCTTTCCCTTCTGAGCTGTGAACTGAATAGCCTGGCTCAATATCTGAGGGACATTTAGGTGCCTTAGCCCGGTGTCACACCACATATGTGAACACACATACAGGTCACACTATAATAAAGACAAATAGCCATGAACACAACACATGATGCCCTATGCTGTGTTAGGCATTACCACCAGGACCTGGTAATTTTATAAAAAATGAATTAAAAAAACGGTAAGCAAGCTACTTACTGTACTGTATGTAAGAAGGATCATTTATAGGAAGTGATTTGATACAAGACTGATGATTTTTGCCAATTCGTCTTTGTAAAGTGCCATACAAGTAATTGCTGGATTTCCCAGAGGAATGCAAGTGTGACGTTAGACCGATTCCTGTGGGAAAGCCAGCTTTGTTGTGGGATATTCTGCTTTCTCTTGTGGCATTTGAAGGCCATGTCTCGGTGCTACTGTGAGCAATGCCAAAAAGTAGACCGCATTGTTGTCTACTTTTTTGGTTACATGGAGTCCTCAGTTTCCGATGTGATAAATGCCTCTGTTCCCTAACAGCTGTACATCAAACGTTACAAACTGTAGTAGTGCAAATAGAAAAACTGTTCTCTGTCTCAGCTGCAGGGGACGCCCTTGAGCTCTTCCTCGCTGTAATTTGCAGCAGTGGTGAAAATATGTGTGGGTTATGCTGACAGTCCTAGTAGGTCGTATAAATGAGGTGTACAGGAAAATATTTGAATGCTTCGTGTTTGATAAATTCTCTTTTATATTGTGAAAGACAAAACTATAAGATATGTTGTTGTTTTTTCTCTTTGGGGAGAGACTTGAATGACTTGTGTGATGGTCCTGTGGCAACAACCAGGCTTAACAAGTGCTGCTGCTGCTGCTAATCAAAGACTCACTTACACTGCTTATTGTGCATATGCCAATATCTATGAATTTTTCAAAATGAAAACAAATAAACCAAATGTGTGAAGTTAGCACTTTGCTTCATTTTCATTTATTGCTGCTTGAGAACAAGTACCAGTTCCTAATAACATTCACCTCAAAGTGCTTTACATTCTAAGAAAAACTGATAATCTCAGAACTCCTATGAGCAAGCACTTGGCAACAGTGGGAAAGAAGAAAACCTCAAGGAGGGGGGAGGAGAAAAGACCAACATGCAACATTATATAAGATTAAAACCCTTCTCAGCGCACAACAGCAACAACAAACATACCTTAACCTGTTAATTTTGCCTCTTTTACACCACCACAGTGGAGTTTAAACCAGGCATAAAGATGTTTGAAGTGCAGATTCTCTGATTTCATTAAAGGGGTTTTACAAAACACCTCCATTCACTGCTTAACAATTATGGCCATTGGCTGACAACCAGTTTCATGTCCAACTGAGGCCTGTTTTCTCATTATTCCAGGATAAACCGTAATATGAGATCCAAGGATATATTGATGGAAATGAAGGAGGATACCATAAGACTGAAAAACCAAATACGAGTAGTTTTCACTGTGTTGTAGACCTTCTGTATTTATTTTCTTAATCAAATGTAGACGTTTGAAGAATAGGCCTACCAGAGAGTGTTCTTGACTTTGTTAGATGTTGTTTCTCTTAACCATGCACATAATTCTGTCTTTGAGCACCATATTTGTCTCCTGTGGTACCTCAAGCAAGTTCATCACTTGGAGTCCATTCCAACTCCATATCTTCTATCTGCACCATTTATCATTAAATAACAAAGAAACAGATCTCACCTGGCCATGAAACTGCGTGTCAGACGATAATTTTTAAGTATTGGAAAATGGGAGACTATAAATGGCTGTAATTTCTAAAAAGTTAATGCAATACTTTTGTAAAATGCTTTGAGTTAAAGCTAAAAGTTTGCACTTCAGTCACACTGTTCGAGTTCTGTTTGATCTGAAATCTTCTGTGGTTGCGTACAGAGGCAAGAGTGGACAGCATAGAAAGACATTCACGGGTATGACCAATTTAGAATCGTTACTTAAGTTTGATGAATGTTATTCGGACCCTCAGGAGTACCATGCAGGCACATGCAAGCTCCACACAGAAAGGCCCCAGCCATCCAACATGAACCAGTAACTGTCTTGTTAACCACTTTACCACCGTGACACCTGCCTGTCCTTACCTAGCTTGTAAAGTTAAAATTGTTGGGTTTTGTGTATTTGTATTTTTGCTTTGCGCATGAAGGCCACTGTAATACATTTATCTGACAGTTTTTATTACAGTTGTAAGGTTAACAAGATCCATCAAGATTTGTTCGTGTAATCTTCAGTCATGGTTTTGTTTAACTTCATGTTTGAAGACTAAATTATCCGACATTTCTTTAGAGAAAATAGTCAAAAGAATGTAAACAAATCTCTGTATCAAAACTATTTTTTCATCTTCCCTGCTGCATTCATCTTCTCAGACATAGATTGATGGATAGATTATTGATTTGATTGGGCATTTAAGGTTAGCAAGATCAAAACTGGAATAAGACTCCAAATTCTGAAGGTAATATGGAAGTAAAAATTGAGCAGCCACCAGCACCTCTAAACAAATAAATCTGCCTTGTGACCCTGGTCATGAATGTTTAACAGTGTGCATGGTGGAATTTGGACATTTTCCATCAGCCGTAGTTACAGATAAACATATGAAGACAGACTGACCTCAGCGTGCTAAAATTCTGATGGACTCAACCTTCGACTAATCACCGGTTCATCTTCTGAAGCAATTCCAGGTACGAGAAGAAAGACTTTTTATTCAAATGCTGGTTGTGTTTGATGGTTACTGGTTTAAATGTTTTCTCCTGCACCCTGGGCAGAGCAAAGGGAAGGTGATCTGTGCTGGGAGATCACGTGAAACAACTGCAGTGCCTGATGAGCAAAGTCTGTGTGCGCGCCCCACATGTTGAGGATAAAACAGGCAATTAGTGAACCATGGAAAGGCTGCCTGAGATGTGCTCCAGTAACTCTGCACTGTGACGAATGGCATCTAGCCGCATCAGCCATTTCTTGCAACAGGGCTGAGTTCACAAAGAGTTTATATTTTCACCGAAACACAGTTTTAAGCTCAAATGGCAAAAGAACAGCTAATAACAGAAAAGTGGGTCAGCAAGCAAGACGATTGCTTGTTATAGGAATTTGCATATGTAGAGTATATGATTCATACACATGACCCCAGCTGTAGTGCAGAGTTAATGAACTCATATGTGTTTTAATCAGTAACTCAGTGTTAGGACTTGGTCATGATGACCAGACAACTAAGCCTCATATAAGCTCGCGAGTGAAGACCTCACACACTCCTCTTTGTCTTTTCTCCGCCAGGTTCTCAGAGTTGGAGCATGAACACCTTTGTGACTCTCTCGACACGGCAGAGGATGCCCGTGATTGGACTCGGCACATGGAAAAGTACCTCGGGACAGGCAGGGACATAAACACTCACACAGAGTTAGCAGGTCCAACAAATGTTTTTGGACATGGTGGAATTTTAAAGCTTACGTCTGTCTCTGCGTGTTCTCAGGTGAAGCAGGCGGTGCATACAGCTTTAGAGTGTGGATACAGGCACTTTGATTGTGCTGCTGCTTATGAGAATGAAAAGGAGGTTGGAGAGGCTCTGGCTCTCTGGGTGGGTCCAGGAAAGGTGAGCTTTGGTGGTCTTTTAATCAGCTCCAGGGGCCTTTATTCTCTTCACGTCAGCCACATCAGTAGGCTGGTGTGGACACATGCCATAAAAATACATACAAAAGTAAAAACTACAAATATTTAGCCGAACTTTTCAAAGCAATCCACATGCTTTCTTGACTCAGAGCTTTAAAAGTGAGCTTTAGAATGATATTAAGAATTGTAGGAGCTATCTGCTGGACCATGTAATAGGGTAGCCTATCAGACACATGCAGTGCTACTGTGAGCAAATTTATTACTATTATTATTATTATTTATTTATTTTTATTATTTTTTTTACAATTAAATAGAATTTCCTGGCAGTTATTTCATGTTTCAGGCTTTACAGTGTTAACTGATAAATCTACTGACATTCAGCTAAAAAACGGATAAATATTTTCAGTTTAGTCACATAAACAAACAAGATATCTGCTCCTTATCTTACCTGTGAAGTGTTTTTCTGTTGATTGTTGCTGTTGTTCATTAAACCTGAGGGCCACTGCAGGGTTAGAGATGTATGACAGTTTTAGTTATATTTCTGAGGTTAGGAAGCTCTGCCAAGATGTTTTTTCATCTATACTTCTCTCGTGGGTTTTTTGTTGTTTTTTGTTTGTTTTTTTCAAATAAATTTCAGAAACCCAAATAACATAATGTTTCTTTAAAGAAGAGTCCAAAGAGTGTATACAAATCACTGTGTCAGCAAATGGTTTTGAAGAAGTGGTTAATATTTGGTCTGTAAGCCAAAACATGTAGATGAAGATTGGTTTTAACATAGGTTCAAGTCTGCAGTTCACTACCATCAGGCTCAAACTTGTCACTGTCTGTAATGTGCCCTGTTCAAGTGTTTCCCTGTATTCAGAGCAGTCATTGGTTTGTATCCGTGTCATACTTTCCGCTCCAGGCTCTGCAGCGTGAAGAAGTGTTTGTGACTTCCAAACTGTGGAACACCAAACACGACCCCCAGGATGTTGAAGAGGCATGCAGGACCAGTTTAGCAGATCTGGGTCTCTCCTACCTGGAACTTTACCTCATGCACTGGCCCATTGCATTTCAGTGAGTGACTACACACACTCAGTAATGTTAATGCATCTCCATCTGGCTGTAAGTGAGCAGAGATTGAATTGTCACTTTACCTGAAGCAGCTATTCTGTGTGGGCGTTTCAGGAGGGGGAAGGAACTGATGCCTCGAAAGGAAGATGGAAGCATTTGTTACTCTGACACACACTACAGGGATACTTGGACTGCCATGGAGAGCCTCGTAGATAGAGGGCTAGTCAAGGCTATAGGTCTGTCCAACTTCAATGCCAGGCAGACTGATGACATCAGCATGGCCAGACACAAACCTATAGTAAACCAGGTGCAGCTACATTTTTCAGCTCTGTTCAAACAAGTCAGTAAACTGTAACTAATAATTGTGTGTCTGTGTTACAGGTTGAATGCCATCCATATTTGTCTCAAGCAGATCTCCTCTCACACTGTCGGTCAGTTTAATGATTGTTTAACATTCAAACTGGCAGTCATCCTTTCTGAGATTAATATGTCAAAGTAACAGGTTTCACACCTCCATCTCAGCTCAGTGGGAGTTTGTGTGACAGCTTACAGTCCTCTGGGCAGTGGAGACAGACCCTGGGCCTCCGCTAATGAACCAAGTCTGCTAGCAGATCCTCGACTGGGAGCCATAGCCCAAAGATACAAGAAGACACCGGCCCAGGTTATACTCCAGCAAGGCAGGAAAACTCAAAGTAATACAATCACCAATAATCCCTTTAACAGTTTCCTCCATTTATTTGACTAATCACATGAGTCAATGACTCATTTGCAGGTGGCACATTCAGAGGGGTGTTGTGTGTATTCCCAAAAGCGTGACGCCTTCCAGAATCCAGCAGAACTTGAACGTGTTTGACTTTTCCTTGTCAGAAGAGGACACGAAGAGCATTGAATCCTTCAATCACAACAAGCGTTTCATCGCTCCAACAGTCGAGGTAAGTCACCAAGTCTCCTTGGCACCTAAAAACAATTCTGAACTGCTTCTTCCCCCAGAGCCTAAATATTTAGATGTTTATATACCAAAGCATGAACTATTGTAGTCTCCCTCTGGAGAAGGCTCACAGCTGGTGATTTCAGTAGGTCTTGGATTTTAAACAGTTTCTCAGAAGTGTTTGGAGTTAGTTGGGTATAGTAGTACATTAATAGGCAAATTATTAAAATAAACCATTAACTACAATTTGCATTTGTTTCTACAGAGAGAGAGTGTGGAGAGATGCTGAACATCCTCATTTCCCCTTCCATGATGCTTACTGAGTCTCCAGCAAAGTCAATGTATACTTTTTAAGAAGAGTTGTCACTATGACTAATTTCATAGCAATTTTAGTTCAGTAATTTTGATCAATTTTCACCCCCCGTTACATTTTCAGTATGGGGGAAGAAAAAAAAAGAAAAAAAAAAGAAAAAAAATCCAAGCAGCAGTGTTTCTCTCACAGTTACAGTGACACTGTGTGGACAGAAACTGAACAGTATCTTAGCCCAGTGACAGCACTACTGATCACGTCTTTATACTTTCACTCTGCTGGCAGCAGAGAACAGACAGATCTCATCAACTACAAACTGCCCTGTAAAGAGTTTTAGTGTCTGGTAGAAGAAGTAGGGGGGAGGGGGGGGGGGTGAACCAAACAAAAACTTTGTTACATGCCGTCTTTCTGCAAGATTTACATCTCTGTCAAACAGGCAGATAAATGGCAAATAATACCAGGTACCATAAATGCAGATGATTTAACCTCACTCTGATGAATCAAGTATCTGTTTAACTTAATTTTGTAATGCCTAATATACAAGCAATTAAAAAAGCTTAATAGAAACTGACAACAGTTCTGTTTCGTGAGATTTTATTTTCCAACAACATAACCTTGACAAATTTGTAATACATTATATGCTACTGTTTATTTAAAAAAACAAAACAAAAAAAGGAAGTCATTAGCAATATGTTTGTGTTTTTTTTCTCTTTTCTTTCTAGCATAGAATTCCATCACTATAGTCATTCATGTTGGTTGTGATATACTGAGAATGAGGCCACTCAAACATCACCCCCCACCCCAGGAAAAAGAAATCCACAGTCAGTTTTTCCACCTTCCAATTCCAACATCCCCTTACCCCACCCACATCAAAGCCAGGGCAAACCAAGCAGCTACATGCTTTCTCCAAGGGGGGAAAAAAAAGAAAAAAGAAAAAAAGAGGGGGAAAAAAACAAACCATACAAAAGAAAAAAAAGGAACACATGAAAGAAGCACAAAGTCCTAAAAATGTGGAATCTGGTGAGATTTGTACAGGTGTGATCCCAGTACTGACCACTGTGGGGCAGTGTATGTTTATCCATACAGGTCATCATCATTATCTTCATTGAACACTGGACCGGTGCCAGTTCCACCAGAGCCATGGCTTGGACCACTGCCGCCTGCAGCACTGGAGGGAAACCTGAAAGGAAACATTTTTATTTATTCTTTATTCTTACATTCAGAGGAAACTTCTCCAGACATCCTTTAAATACACAGCTGGTTTCAGCTTTTGAGTGTATTAAAGAATCTGCTGGGCGATATAAGATTTTTTCATATCATGATATGAGCCACTAAAGCATTTAAGTTTCAAAATAGAACAAACAAAAAAGACTACTAAATTGTCACTTAGAAACAAAATATTAATTCTAAAAATAAATCTAAGTTTATTTTACAGAAGAAGAGACAAAATTGACTAACTTATATAATATTGCTTTGGAAGCGCTGTCTGAGATAAATGTTTATGTCAACGGAGTTGGTAACAAGGATCCATTACCTTAATTAGCTGCTTGAATCCTTCATTTTCGACCGTGTTTATTGGAAGCATGTCTTTAGCAAGTCAGTAAGCTGTGGCATTCGTTATGTTGCTATGTCTCTCAGCTTTTTTGTCATATGGTAAGACGCTGGAGAAAGCCGACTTAATTGACTGTTGCTGCTTCGCAGGGATTCCCCTGGTTGTTTTCGATGACGAATTAGCGCTTTCAGTCAGAGATTGAGCGTGCTCTAGTGGGTGACACTGCTTCAGTTGATAAAAAAGGTTTGTTGTATTTCCAGACTTTGTGGAAACATGCTTTTGGCGCAATTTACAGTGCGTGTTACTCTGTTTTTTGGTCAGACTTCAAATAGCTGAAATACCTCCACACTACGGAATTTCTCTGGCCTTTCCTTTCGACAACCTCTAGTTTCATTTTTCTATCGAGAAAAAGTTATTTCGCAATACATATTGTTCTATCGCCCAGCTCTAATTACAGTACAATCAATGAGAACTTAGAAGGAATAGCATCCACATTAATGGTTCTTTTCTGCAAAACTTAAAACTACATGACTTTCAAAATTTAGTATGAAATGAAAGTACCTGAAGCTGCCAAAGCCACGGCTCTGCTGCAGTGTCTGAGCGAACATCTCGTATTTGCGAATGTCATTGTCACTGACAGAGCGGCGAGCAAATCGCATTGCCTCTTCAAAGTGGTCCTTCCTGATCTCCGGTACAGGATCATCCTCTTCTACCTCCTATGAAATCAACATTTTATACATGAGAGATCAGAGGCAGCAGCATTGCAATAGTTTGAAGATGCTCATCCTGATATGAAAAAGTGAACAAGGAGATAAAACAAGTGCTGACCATAGCTGATGGGTTGGTCTGCCTCTCCCTCTCTCTGCGGATCTCGTTTTCAATGCTCTCCCTGATGGCCAGTTTACACGCCCGCTGGCAGATCTCTGTGAGATCAGCTCCAGAGAAGCCGTTGGTCATCTTAGCCAGGAAGTCCAAGTCCACATCCTATCAAACGGAGACAATGTCAAATTTTAACTTCTATTCAGTTACAATTAGTAAGTCACATTTTTTGTTAGCTACTTTTGGCTGCTCCCCTTGTCACAAGGGGGCCATCATATTGGGCATCTCTGCTGAGGTTTCATTTGGCAGTTTTTACACCAGATGCCACTCCTGATGAAACCTCAAAGGGGACATTTCTATTAATGTTCTAAATTGCTTGTAAGACCATTTCTTAACATCTATCATTGTTCTAATAAACAATCCTGAAGTAATTGGAAGCAAATTTTAAATTTTTAACAAAATGACAACATTTTACAGGAATTCAGCATCAACTGTTTGTATGCTACTTTATGCTACAGTAACTACACCAAGAAAAAAACCCCAAAAACAACACAAGAGTTAAGTGGGTATGTCAGTTGTGTGAGTAAGTAGCAGCTTTGTCACCTTGCTGATGGGACTCTTGCGGAGGTTGGCCTTCAGGATGCTGACCCTGCTCTTCTCGTCAGGCAGGGGGATGTAGATGAGCTGATCCAGACGGCCAGGTCTCAGGATGGCAGGGTCGATGATGTCTGGTCTGTTTGTGGCTCCAATGATAAAGACGTTTTTCTTGCTTGACATTCCATCCATCTCAGTCAGGATCTGGTTGATGACACGGTCTGCGGCTCCACCGCCATCTCCCACGTTGCCACCACGGGCCTTGGCTATGGAGTCCAGCTCATCAAAGAAGAGAACGCATGGGGCTGCTTGACGAGCCTACATGTAGAAGATGAGCACACACATCAAATATACAAAGAAATCTGTCCTATCCAGCACCAAACTGTTAAATGTGACAACTCTGATTTAACAACATTCAAATTCTCTGACATCCAAATGCAACGACAGACATCCTACAAAGTCTCACCTTGTCGAAGATCTCTCTGACATTAGCCTCAGACTCTCCAAACCACATAGTGAGCAGCTCAGGTCCTTTGATAGATATGAAGTTTGCCTGGCACTCGTTGGCAATGGCTTTAGCCAACAGAGTCTTACCACATCCAGGGGGACCATAGAATAGCACACCCTTGGATGGGGTCATGCCAAACTTGAGGAACTTGTCTGGGTGCTCCACTGGGTACTAAATTAAGTACAAGTAAGGGGGGAAACAGTTAGAGACAACACTAAGCCTTCAGTTTACAATGTATCAGTTGTTTCAGACATTTCTAAATGAGGCTCATACCTGCACCAACTCCTGCAGCTCCCTCTTGACATCATCCAGACCACCAATATCCTCCCAGGTAATGTTGGGAACCTCAACAACAGTCTCTCTCAGGGCTGATGGGTTGCTCTGGCTCAGAGCCCACTGGATAACAGAATTGATCGTGTTAGTATTGACGCCAAAAGGCAACTACTGGCTATGTGAATACCATCTTAGGCCGGAACTGCTGAAGACATCAGACATGCACTTTCTTGAACACAGAACCTGGCATAGTCCCTAATGAAATTTGCATCAATCCAACTCCAGACTCAGATACATAGTACTGTCCCTACCATGACAGCAACCCTGTATGTAACAGTAACCCCAGTTAACGAAGGAGTATCAGATTGCTTACCTTGAAGTCATCCATGGTGACAGCAAGAGAGTTCATGACTTCAGCATCAATGGTCTCATCCTCCAGGTCAATCAGGTCCATCTTCTTCCTAATGGCCTGCAGAGCAGCCTCAGAGCACAGAGCTGCCAGATCTGCACCCACATGCCCGTGAGTCTCATTGGCTACCTAAAATTGGAAACAGAGAGCTCAACACTTAGGAATTTTTCCCTAGGTTTCCAAGCAATGTGCCTTACATGTGACAAAGACCTACATCTGTAGCTTTATGCAACTCAGCTACTTCATAATGGATGACTGTGTCACAAGGAACAATTATAATACACTGAATGCCAGGCCAAGTACAGTCACTAAGGTTAGCTTGGGAACTGAGTAATGTGAAAGTAGCTCTTCATTAGATAGTATAACAGCAGATTAACAATAGTTACATATAATTACTTAAAACATGTAGTACAATTTTACTTCTTAGTCTCAGGCAATAATAACCATATGGCTATACCCATCGTTCAAGGAATCCGTGTGTTGTATCTTTAAACCACACCAATTACAAGAAAGGAGTTATGTGTACAAACCTGTTCCAAGTCAACATCATCAGCCAGCTTCATGTTCTTGGTGTGAATCTGGAGAATCTCCAACCTTCCAGTAGCATCAGGGATACCAATGTCAACTTCCCTGTCAAAACGCCCTGAAAGTGACAAAGATTAAACCCAAGTATTAGTTTTAATGAGAAACCGTTACATGAATAAGATTATTAAAGTCCAAGAGTAAACTCAAAAGTAAAACTAGCTGTTTATTTAAATACAAACAAGAAAAATTGTTTTTTGCATTGGTGCATACACCATGTTTCAGGAATGTGGAAACATGGTGTGGGAATTCATGACTGATGTGTTTTCACAGTAACAACCCATCTTAACTTCCTGTTGAGCACATATTGCAGCTGATGCATCCCCCCCATCATAGTTCACTGAACATTATTAAAAAAAATTATAATAATAATAAAACATTTACACCCCATGTTTAGCGCCTCGCTAACAGAGAAGTACAACACTATCTGCTGATGTTACAGAAGTATTTTAGTATGAAGACCAGCATAAATCATTCCATTTAACAGCATTAATATTTGAATGTTCAGAAAACATCCATGTCTAACTCTTTGAAAAGCCTTTGTTAGGATGTTTCTGACAGCTTTGACAAACTGAAGTGCAGAGTTGTGAGAAAGTGACCCACAATTAAACTGCAGACCCCA